GGCTGGGAGAATAAAGCATTGAAACAAATGTAATAAAAATCAGGATGTTGCATGAGTTTGGTCAATACTCGTATCACCAGATGCCCTATCTTGATATTTGTTTTGTATGCTCAATGATTGTTTATAAATGATGTAGCAATTTTGAACGTTAGGATGCTACACTGGTTTTCTCCGACAATCTTTCACTTCCAGACATCAGGTCATACGAAACGCACATTGGTTGCCTCGAGGTTCAACGAGAATTTTGGCACCGTCTCGCACGATCGTGGCCCCTTTGCATCTCAAAAGTTTGTTGGAGACGATTTACGTTTCTACGGTTGCATAAGTGAACAACAAGTGGTTTTCTTCCATTCTGGCACGCCAAATATCACGGACGCTGGAAACGACGAGAGCCACCAGATACCATGATACAATTAACGATTCGGATGGTGTGAATTATCCAATGACCNTGAGGATACGTCACTATGGTTCTCGTGCTGACATCCGATGCAACGAATCTGGTTGATGTTCGACTGACGCAAAACAGTCCACACATACCAACAATTCTGCCAGTCCATGTCTTGCAGCACAGCCACACGCTAACGATTGCCTGCTCTTCAAACTCGGTTCATGAACCGAAAGCTTTTGCTTGCTTTCTATTGGGGGGCTGCTGTAGTGATCATGATTGTACGACGAAAAGGAGCAATCCAAGGGGACGTTTTCCGTTCATATTTTCTTTACAATCAACTCTGACTCCAACTGTGATATTTCTTTGTTTTACTTCTGTTTGTTTTACCGAGCACGGTTTTCCGCTCAGGCGTATTTATAAGCTGGGTCCTGTTCAAACCCACGCTACACATGTGACGCGCTTTCGCTTTACTACTGCATTTATTGCTTGCATTGTTTAGCGTCACCTTGGCACGTTTTGCTACTATCTAGTACCACGATTTGCCAATGAACGTTTACGACTCCCACGAGTGTTTTTGTCTACATCAAGCAACGAGACACTAGGAGGTCGCGCGCATATTGAGACTCGTAAGAAGACTTACCGGCAGGCCGTAAACACCGGTTAGCTTCATTTCCACTGGAGTTTCGTTTTGAAACGGCTCCTTCCCATCGCTCACCATTTGGGGTTTGGGCTCCTGCGCACGTTTCGGCTTCCTGCGGTCCGTGTAAGGGAGTGTTCCTGGGGGTTTTGCCTTCTTTATCTGCTTCACTCGACGAGGGTGAGGCGGTAACTGTTCTGAGAATCGAGGCAACTTACCTGATTTGGGATAAGGGGACGATGCGGCTTTTCGGTGATTTGCGAGTTTTAGGGACATCAGTAGTGTAATTTTTAGGTCAGTGGCTTGGGTTTTTTAGAGGAATGACAGGTCTTCTAGGAAGTGCGAGGAAGTGGGGTCGTTGTATAGGGGTATTTGCCCGTAGAGAAGGAGCAGCTTGATGAATGGGAAGCGGTGGTGAACTCCCTAGGATTCTCCTTTTCGCAGGTTGCAACTTCTCTTGTTTAGTGTACCTCCTGCTTACAACCTTTTTGTGAGTTTGTTTGCTGTTTACGCAAATGGGTTTTGTTTGCTCACTATTCAGCCGAGAAGACGGCTCGAGAAAGCTCCGATCGGCAGTGAGAGTAGGCTCATCGTCCTCCCCGTTGCAGAAGTTTGTATTCGGAGAGCTGCAGGCTAGAGGAATAGAGGATATTTCTAAACTGGGTCTGTGGGAGATCAGATGGTCAGCAGGGATAGGACGACGTGTGAAGTTGACCACCGCCTCCTTTAAAAGTTTACTGTCTCTTAGTCATCTCTTAGGGGATGATGGCGGCAGCCTTGTGTGGATGGGTTCGTCCGGTGCCACTCCCCTCACCAGTTTGTCACCCGACTGGATTTTCTGTATATGTGCAATACAGTCCGTAACCACTGATGAGCGGTTAAACCCCACAACTAGTCCCACCACCCGTTTCTTATGTTTTGAGACTAGCCATGTGAAGCTGCAGGGGTTAGGTATTTTCGGGGAGGTGAGGTTTCCAGGGAGAGATTTTGCCTTCTGGGCAGGGGTCTGGTCCTTAGAAAAACGGCCCCATAATATCACTCTCCTTGAGCAAGCTTCTTCGATAGTCAGCTTTTTGGCTGTGTCTAAGCTATCTTATTTGCATATCTTAATCGCTTGCGAGGCGGCCTTGGTTGTTTGTAGCTCATTCCGAATGAGCAATCTAAACTCCGAGAGCTATTATTCGAGCTGTGAAATGTGAGTCTTCATTTCTGACTGTCTCCTCCGCGTGTGATTTTGCTGCTCGTTTTTGTGTGAATGGGCGGTTCTCTGTAATGGTTTCGTTAAAATACATTCTAGCGTCTATGTCTGAGGGACTATACCGCATGGGAAGAGTACTCATATCCGACCCTTCAGAGCTACGTCGGCTATGAAGCAGAGTAAATGGCATAGGGTAAGTAGATGAAACTTGCAGTTTAGAAACAAATAGATTCGTCACAAAGACACGAAGATTGCGAGAACACTTTCTAGATGTGTTATTGCAAGAAACTCAGATTTCTGAATCACCTTTTGCGGAATGAATAGAGCAAATGTGTAAAGGTGTACAAAAATGAGTGATATACCACAATGGATATGTCTAATATCTTTTCAAGGAGAGCAAGTCAAGAATTTCAACTTGGCGCCATCTCACCCAAGTAGGAATACTTGTTTACGATTTCTCGTTCTCAGAACACGGGAGGCCATGGCTATAAACTTCAGTAGAACTATACCAGGTTGGAAGTACTGGCAAA